CATTCCACCTAAGAAATCTTTCCTAAACGAAAATAAATTTCAGAATTTCAGTCAACATTTCATGAGATCGGTCACGCACTGTATCTTCGTGGATGTTCAGGTTCTTCGTGATGTAGATTTAAAGTTGAGATGAAAACGTGTACATGGTCAAATATGTCATCTGCAGGAAAATGACGGCCTTGTAGCTTTCAAGGACTGCCTTCGTTCTAAAGGTTGCACAAGTCATCGGCAACGATCGGATGAAAGACCCCAAACACACACACACGACCAACCAAAGGTGCCCGTCTCACGGGAAAGGTGTTCTATGCAGGACAATTAAAAAGACAAACGTTGAGTGTCTACAACGATCGCTTCTCCATCCTTTGATTTAAGGTCATTGTAAATAACCCGACAGACTTTCTGCAACAATCGCTTCTCAAATCTCTGAACTGAGTTCACTGTGGATAATGCACCAGACCGTCTGCAACAGGCGACTCAACCTTGTACGACGAAACACCAAATCGAAATAATCGTTTCGGACTTAAATTAGTAGGTATTCTTTGTATATCACAGATGCTTGGGGGCCTTCGTCCGATCCTTAACTAGTTGTCATTGCGTTGTTGAGACGTTCAAACTCCCCTAACTTAATGGAAATGTTTGTGGTTATCCAACTGTCCACAGCCTGTCTCCAAGGACGCAGTATGCGACCCCACTCAGAAAATAAGAGCCAAGCCATCGTGACCAACTGCATCACCGCCCTTTTGTAATTGACGCTTCCACGCTCCCAAAACTAGATGGGATAAAATCTACTTCTTTTGTGAAAGCAAGCCGGAATAACCGCGAAAGATACTCACATTTCGCCTGCATCTTCAGTTTTCTTGATACCCTCATCATTCCTCGGGGATGGGGTCCCTGGCACCGTAGCTCTTTTGCAAGTACAATAGGTGGGCTAACTCATGAAATGTCAACCAAAATTCCGAAATGCGTTTTCGTCACGAAAAGATTAATAAGGTAGAATTGTAAAACTAGTCAATCTGCAGCATAATTCTATAATATTTCAGTTACCTCAGAATGCCGGCTTTCGAATGAGCATCTATACCGTTGCATGCAAAAACCACACTCTGTAAAAATGACTACGTAAATAGCATGCCTTTTTCCCATTGATTTCCGATGCTCCTAAACGTCCAATTATATTTCATAAAGAACATGCATAAAAATATTCATTCCATTGCTCATTTGGTAGACAATAACGTCTTCTTCTGATTTTTTTATTCGAAGGAGGGACAGAATTCGGTTTTAAAAAAAGTTTCTAATTGTGGCACTTTTAAATACCGTGAAATGGCCGTTCATAAATCGCCATGTCTCTGCATTTACCAATGTGACTTGTGAATTTAACAGTATGGATCAAATCCACTGCTAAATTTTAAGAACCCTATATGGTTTCCCCTTAGTACTTTAGAGAAATGTGTGGTTTTCCGTACGCGGAACATATGCTGCTTGTAGTTTGGAAACCCTGAATCCAAGTGTAGCGGTAGAGCGGGTTCAAAATTATTCGGGGATTGGATACGTTTTTGAAAACCGAATTATACTCTTCCTTCGAGCACAAGATTGGAAGAAGACGTAATTATCTACCGAATGCAAAAAGAATGAATATTTTTATGTATGCTTTCCGTGTAATATAATTGGACATTTGGGGGCATAGAAAATCAATGAGAAAAATTCATGCTTCTAGTCATTTTTACAGAGTGTAGTTTTTGCATGTAGCGGGATGGATGTCCATTTGAAATCCTGCATCCCGAGGTAACTAAAATATTATAGAATTACGTTGCAGGCTGAATAGTTTCACACCCCTACTTAATTAATCTTTTCGAAACGAAAACGCATTTCTAAATTTCGGTTGACAATTCATTAGTTAGCCCACCTACTGTAATTCTAGAGGAATTTAGCGCGAATACGCAATATGTCACCTCATCCTTTATCCGAATATTTGCTTCCTTTCTGCGGTTTAGCCCCACCCATGAAACTCGTATTACACGATGACCAGGTTTTTGTTCCCTGAGTGGGGTCGCATGCTGCGACCCTGCCGATAATTCTTTCTGGAAAACCTCTGTGATACGGAAACTGTTTGAAATTATCTCGTGATCCACTATGAAGCAGATTTTAAGCCAGCGACGATAGCGAACATTGTGTAAGGCCAGTGGAAGGAACGCGCACAAATATAAAGCAGGACCGACCACATCAGAAAATTTTATATTTTCACCATAAAAGGTTTTAGGAAACCTAACCACCTGAAAACTGCCAGCGGTAATCAACGAACCAAATTTTTACTGTCGAAAGTATCTTTCCATATTCAAACTGGGCACCTATCATTTCGAAAGGGAGGAATTAACATGAGATGGCGTCTAATTTGTCAGTAGTAAAAACCTCTTGCTAGTGATATTTTATACATGCTGGAAGATTTCAGTACACATACTGCTTGACGCCTTAATGGGGACTGTGTCTATTTAAAGTCACTTTTCATTGGATATTGTTCCTTTTCTATGCAATGCTGCCTTTCTCGGCATTGGCTATTTTTTTGTCAAACTCATCTTAATCTCAGCACAACCGTACGAGATCAGTCATACTGGAAACATGACCTAGCAATTAGTAAAGACAAACCCAATATGCAGCGGTCGATCAAAAACACTAAAAACCGTAAAACACTCAGCAACACTTCAAGGACGTCCTAGGACTCAGCGGACTCCACAGTAACCTTACAGTATTGGATAATTATATCAAAACTAGCCATCCTTATAGCATGTAACTGAGGCCGAGGCATAGTCGTCCGGACTAATCGCAAGCTCCTGCCTATCGTTTTACAAGTATTTACCAAATATCCAAACAGTTGGCCGACTGCCATATACTACGTAGTACGAAAGACAGATTGTCCAGAAAATATATAAAATGCTTTTTTGCACGTTATTATGCTTATGCTATTCTATATGCCCACCCGACTGCATGGACAGGCAGCATGCTGTTCTGCAGATTACGTTTGAAATTTTTAAATGAAACTCTCCTTCCTGCATTTACGCCGTTCTTAAAAAACTTGTTGTTTTATCAAACTTACGACTACTCTCAGTACTCCCTCTTTTATGTGTTTTTCTAAAAGTTTGACATATTACATGAGTAGGTCACCTACTATTACTCGATAGGTACCAATTGCAGAAGACCTCACGTCGGGTGTCTGGGCACGGTAACAATTGGGAGATGGCACCCAAAAAATCCACCCAATCAAAGCAGCCTGTCTTACGGGACAGGTGGTACTAGGGGTTTTACGGGTGGGGCCTTCGATTGCGTGGATAAATACAAATAATACTAAGAAGTTTTTTTCAGAAATGGCTTTTCGAACGATTAAGTTTAACCTCATCACTATATGGCAACAAAAATGTGCGCGGTGTCGGATTTTCTTGAAGAAACAGAAAATATGAAGTCGATCCAGCTCGTATTCCCTGCCTAATTGCTTTTTTAAATAGGGGATTGAAAGCGGAATGCAGTTGGCTAAAGGAAAGGTTCTACGTTGTGCTGTTCATGACCCTATGCCTTCATATCCTCGCTTTCAAAACAGCACGTTCAATAAACACAGAGAACGTAATTGAAAACATCGCCGCACTGGACCCCGACGAGAGTTGCCATTTTGTGAAATTGCTTAGCTGATGACACAGTCTGTCTAGGATTGTATGCTTTTAAAGTTTTCCGGCTCTCAGTAAAATACCCTTATTTTATTCCTTTCATCAGCCTGTGGACGAACACTCATGCAGTCCTCCGGCGTATTCTCATTGGTAACGGAATTTTTTGGGTGCCATCTCCCAATTGTTACCCTGGGCACTTCGATAAACGACGCTCGAAACTGCCGTTTTCAGTGTGACAGAAAGCTTGAAATGTGCGGGACTCACGACAGACAAAAAAAACCGAAAATTTTGTACTAGCCGCATATAGCTTAATATTTCATTTCTCCCAGGCACGGTGATCACGTAGAGAACGCAAGACGATGGATTCGCGTCGAACCACCCCTGCTTACCACAAGACTGAACTAACCCGCCCGGAGATGAGATCAGGTACAGCGACTGCACAAGCGTAGGTTACTACATGCAGACGACCCTGACCTCATCAGATCCTGATCCCAACCCCCAGGGTTAGATCGCATTTGGTAGCCAGGAATGGGAAGCGGACGGCGACCTAACCCTAACCTCAACAGTAAACGTTAGCCGTTAACCCTAACGGCAAACCTGACCCTAACCCTAACCAACATCGTAAACGTATCTGTAGCCCTTAGGCATAGGCGTAACTGAAAAACCTAACCGCAATACTGAAACCTGATCGTACGCTCAGACCCTAACCGCAACCCGGAAATCGGAAACTATTAACCGGTACCCTTATCCTAACCTCAACTGTAAAACGGAAGCCAAATGGGTCACATGTGATTACGGAGCCCCACAAAATAGCCCCCGTAAAAAAAATCTCCAGCCACCTGTAATGCGGGGCTTGGCTACCAACTGCGATTTAGCCCAACCCAGTGCTGAAGATGGCACAGAAACCACACGAAGTATCCGTTTTAGTTTTGACCCTCGGCTGGCAACTCTCGATGGAACGACATTTGGAACACCGTGAGAGTTTAAGAGTGCGCGGTATTTGCGAAAGTGAAGTACTACACTACTCATATCGACAAAATGACCGCCTTCTACCCAATCCTACAGGAGACGCCCACGAAAAGCCGACAGCTTGGTGTATAAATAGTTTTTTTTGCTTTGAAAGACTTCAGCGTCCTAGAAAAAAAAGAAGACGGACAAATTGAGTAGGTGGCAAATGCAGCAGTGATTGTCCACCTTGGGTTTCAGTGTTGCAGTCTGTTCGAAGGTGCAGTCGATGATGTCTCGTGATAATCCAGAGGAGGAGGAATCGCCTGGCAGTTTGGCGGGGGTGACCGGGTTGAGAGGTGGGAGCATCGGAAAGAAATAAGAGGGCGCTGGGAGGGGAGGGGTGGGCTAGGAATTGAAGGCCGACTGTCGACCTCGCCCACTGCGGAGACGAGAGGCCGGCCAACCAGTACCGGCGCTAGTCGGATGATGACCGGCGGCCCCCAAGGTTGATTGGCCTGCGTCTGACGGGGGTCCGGCGGCGCGCTGGGAGGATTCTATGTGCTGCAGAGCGATGTGACCCAGCTCAAGGAGGGTCTCACGCAGCATTGGCGCCTTTGGTGGTACGATGGCCTGCATCTGAGCACGGTTCAGGATGGTTGGAATGGTCTGCGTACCGACCGCGAGCTCCGGTAGGAGGGCTATCTGAAAGTAGCCTGCCAGTTGAGCGAGTTCACGACTCATGGAACGCGTACTGGCGCGCACCGTCTCCTCAATGTAGAGGCGGTTCAGTTGTTTCAGCTCCTCCGGCGACAGGGGAGACTGGAAGGGAGAGGAGGCATTAGGGAGACAGCCCAAAACTCAGTCTCGATAGTATTTCAAAGCGGTATAGTGCGAGGCGAGTTTAAAAGAGGGGGTTCGCAGACACACAGGTTAGTTTAGGAGACTAACGAGGTCTGTCACAGGGATTACTGAGGACGATACCGGTAGTTTCACCAGCATGCCATTCGGGTGTGAGGATTTCACCCCCCCCCTCCTTCAAACGACATGCACCGCCACATGGCCTGCGTTAGATGGAAACGTCAGACACCACAGTCAATCTCACTCCCTCCGGCTTACCAATGCTGGATAGGACGGAGGGAGGTCCACCCAGCCACGATTCAACACTTCTTCATAATGCGCATACGGTCCCACGGCAGCCACGTGCTATAAATACTGCACTCTTGGCGCCACCATCACCTTTATCTGCGAATGTCTCTGATGATGGATTCGAGTGAGAGTCCGAAACGTCAGGCAAATAAATTTCGGTAGGATCCCTGT